CTGGAAATACCCTCAAGGCTCTGTCCATCGTCAACGTCAGCGATAAGTCGTATCCGGACAAGGAGTCGATGCCTCTCTGGGGCATCGAATCGCCAGGATACGAAATGAGCGATGTTCCTCAACTGTGGGGCCTGATTTCACCAGAACTGGAGCACTCGGTCAATTTGTCCACAATCCGGGCACCTCAATTGTACCTACCAGGCTACGGTGGTAAAGGTCTGTTGTCGACCGTGTCGGGATATGAAAATCTGCCTGGATCAGATGGACCATCGGATGCCTTGTCGGGAGTGTACCAATACAACAGTGGCGGCTGGGCAGACTATACCGGAGACACCAACATGGCCATGTATGCGCGGTGGCGAGATCTTTCGGGGTCGGCAGCGACCATGGCCAAGATCCCCAACCTGGTGTGGACGGATATCGCTGCGAACATGCTGGTGGGCACGCGCAGCTGGAACTCGGACGATCAGCTGCCTGTCAACCTCCAGAAGCGGAGCGAGGATGGGACGAGCAGCGCGGACAGTGACCACGCCGTCATTCCTGTGACTGTCTATCAGCGACGGATTCGCTATCGCTGGCGATTTGCCATCCCAGCATTCCTGGCTCTGGCACTGTTGCTCGCGGTCCTTTTGGCGGCTTTGGTGTCTGTTTTGTCTGGACGAGGACTTCCAGCACGGGTGCGACATTATCTTTTTCATTTGTCGTCCGGTCGCATGTTGGGGGAAATACAATATACTGGAGAGTGCGACAAGTTGGCACCGACAAATGAATGGCTCGCACGTGTGGGTAACAGGCGCAGCGATTTGCGCGCTTATGTCAGTCATGGTGCTAACAGCGTTAGCGGCAGTGGTGGGCTTGCGATCCCAACCTCACCGTTCCTCGGGCAGCAGCGTCACATGGCCAGCGGCATTGGTGAGGAGAAGATGAAGCGGATGGCGAGCGAGACGACCGAACTGCAGCCTCTCAACGAGGAGGCCGCGTCAGACCCGGACGTGAAGGAGGTTGTGCCGACTTCAGGATATACGAGGCTCAATGGAAACGAACAGCCGGCATGGCGGTCACCCGGGCTCTAAAGATAAACCTGGGGTGTCACTGGTCAGCAGCCAGGCGTCAAGCGTCAGGCTGATGGAACTGCAAGGCTCTTGATCTCGAACTGGCGTGTGAGTGGGGGTTTGGCCCACCTGAGAAATCCTAGTGCGCCAGATGCGCGCTGGGGCCAATTATGGTTTGTAAGGACTTCATGTCCGGAAGACGCCGTAATCACGAGGTGAGAATTGAATCGGGAATGTTGTGCCAACGGAGCCATGGGTTCAGTGGCTCGGAAGGGTCTCCACAGAGGGAACACGGAACATAATCGACCACATCTATCAACCAAAATCGAGAGGCAGACGAACTAGAGGAGGTGTGGCGACGAGCGCAACGGTGATAGGAGGGAACAGTGTCTGGAAGAAGCAGAGGATGAGGTGTTGGTGATGGATGTGGTGGTGGGTGAGGACAATCACCGGCAGCTTGGCAGGAGCTTCGATATAACGACACGGGCTGGAGGGATTGGCCGATGAGCAACGGATTTGCAGTCGATCGAGGTCAGAAAGTATCTGAATGATTTCTCGACGGGGGTTCTACTTTGGCGGTGACGGACGGTGGTGAATGTGGATTTCTTTTAGTCCAGACTCGATAGAGGAAAAGGAAGAAGACAACAAGATATCAAACGCAACCGAAGCAGAAACAGGCTCGCAAGAACTCATCCAATTGGGAGAGCGAGCGAAACCCATGTGGGTAGAGAAAGATAGTGGGAGAGAGAGATGGAGGAGGACCGAGACTGTGCCTCTGTTGCGAGAAGACAGGCTCGTGGTGCGGCTGGCACCTGGTTTACCTAGCACACCCGCCTAGTCCACCCGCCTAGTCTGTACGTTTAGAGCGCATGAGTGCCAAACTCGGTACCCTCTTGAGAGCGACCTAGCTCGCTAGGTATGAAGCTGGGTCTTGATCGTTGAGCCTATTAGTACGTTTGTCATGATGAATTGCATCCGTCTCGTGCCACCAGTGCCATCGAGGTCTAGTCTCGCCTTATCCTTTTGGTGGCCACCACCGGCAACATTATCACCAGCACCAAACAAAGATGCCCAGTGGTTATTGTCGTGGGTGGTCAAGGTGGTTAATTAAAAACATGCTGCATTCCTGATTGTCAAAGACTTTGAGCCTCTGCTTTGTTCTTTTCCTTCGATGACTTCTTCTACTACGAGAGTCTGTCCAAGCTCTTTTCCACTCTCTCTTCATTCTTTTTGAGAGTGCCACCAGTGCTGCGCTGCTCCCACAGTGCACAGTTATCACCACATCTTCCCACCCCACCCTCAGCTATCACTAGCCTCATCCTCGGTCCCTAGCCAACCCCCAGAACTGCCCACCTATCGATAAAGCCGTTTCCCCTCCTCACCAGTCACCACTCGTCAACCATTTTTTTTTCACCAGGACTCGGTACAGCTCAGCAAACGTCCTGCCCATCATGCAATAACAGGAACCCCCCAAAAATAAAAAGTAACACCGCGTCCATCTTTTTGGGTTGTCGGTTATCCGTCGAATCTAGCAGAGCGGGTCGTGAACCGAAACCAGTGGCCTGCATTGTGTCGCCCGTTTGACCCTCCACAACCCTCCCACTTCCCCCCAATCACGCAAACCAAACTTCTGTGTATCCCAAACCCACCGCTTTTTTGGCGTCCCAGAGCCTTGCAACCTGCGCTCCGAGGCTTCTAAGCAATCAGCGCACCCAGGAATGCCTCAACATTCGCCCTCTGCCATCCGGCCCTTCCGCCATGACACAAATTCCTCATTCACCGACGAATCATCCTTTCACTATGCCGAGCGTGTACCTTTTTTGACGCAGGAACAGACCTTTATAACGTGCCCCAATCTCGAAGATGGTTCTTTCTCAGATTCCGCCACCGCCTCCGTCAGCCCCGATGTCCTGAAGGGGCCCACCGTCACCTGCCTTGAGACCCCGTCTTCTTTCGATCACCGCAACTCCAGTGTCTCTTCCAGATGGCGCTGGACAGAGACCCTACCGGTGTTGAACCAATTGTTTGGTGGGGGTCGTACGGTGGTGCATAAAGGGCACGTTGTTGAAAGAGGGTCATTACACAAATCCATCCCGACCACACCGCTCAGGAGAGTGCTACGCCTCCTGGCCCTGACACTGATGTTGTTGTAAGAACCACGCGGTGACTATTGTTTGTGACAAGCGCCGTCTGCTAACATTGAGGACAGAGGAATTCTTGAGTTCATTGCACTCGCTTGCGGCCTCGTTCTATCCTTCTTCCCCGACGACGCAGACGACGAATTCGACGGCTGGAATCCCTCCCAGCACACCTCTAGTGAGCTGGGCCATTGGCCCACCGATTTTTCTGCCGACGTCCATCCAGTAGCCTGCCACTCGCACAATGATTACTGGCGCAAAGAACCCTTGTTCTCGGCCCTTGAAGCTGGTTGTACAGGCGTGGAGGCGGATGTGTGGCTCTATGATCAAGACTTGTATGTCGGACATTCCACAGCGTCTCTGACACCGGAGCGGACGCTCCGCAGTTTGTACATCAACCCGTTGGTGAAGATTCTAGATCAACAAAACCCTCATACACATTTCCATCCCTCGCTGGACAACCCTCGAAATGGTGTCTTCGACACCAGGCCCTCTCAGACCCTGGTCCTCCTGATCGACTTCAAAAATGAGGGTCACAGGATCTGGCCACATGTCTCTGCACAGCTCCAACCTCTCCGAGAGCGGAGACTCCTCAGTTACTTCAACGGCTCCGGCGTGGTCGAAGGGCCCGTCACCGTGGTGGTCACGGGAAATGCGCCCTGGGACGAGGTGGTGTCCAACCAGACATATCGTGATATGTTCTTTGACGCACCCCTCGACTTGATGGGAAAGCTGACTGACCTCAATGATGCTGCCGAGGCACCCATGGATACGCAGGGTGGTGAGCTTGACAGGCGGTGGGATCAAAATCAGGGCCAAGGCCGGTCCGGTGCCGCGCCTACCGACCCTGCAGTCTACTCCCAAGCCAACTCGTACTACGCCTCTGTATCGTTCAACGCCGCTGTTGGCTGGCCCTGGCGTGGCAATCTTTCTCGCCGTCAACTCGAAATGATGCGGAAGCAGATTGCTGGGGCTCACGCTCGTGGGCTCAAGGTCAGGTACTGGAGCGTACCCAGTTGGCCGAGAGGAATGAGAAATTATCTCTGGCGGACAATGGTCAAAGAAGGAGTGGACTATTTGAACGTGGACGATTTGAAATCCGCGGCCTCGGGTGACTGGAACTGGGATAAAAGAGGGCCTTGGTTCAGTGGGCCGTGGAGATTTTGGCGGTCCAAGGCGGCTGCATGAGCCAGAAATGTACTGGACACGAAAAAAACACCATGACTTGAAGATTGAAGACGAATTTTACTAGATACGACCATGTGAGACCCCCCACATACAAAAGACCATGGCGATGGAGATGAGAGCTTGGTTCGAGATCGGTCCTACAAAACAGAGGCCCAGATCTACGCACGAGCACGGTTTCACGGAATTACAGCTGCCACTGGATTGGTTGAGCCAGGCGTTTAATCAGGAATGAGGACGGAGTTCTGCAAAAAAGATCACTGCCGGGAACATGGGCAGCATTATGATACCCAAGCTTAGAGCATACATTGGTCACAGGATGAGTTACAAATACAACGAGAACTGGCCTTGACGGTGTGAGTCTTTGTCCCATCCTTTCCTTGCCCTTCTCGACAGTGCCTTCCTTCATCTACCCAGTGATGTTATCAGCTCCAATGACTTGCTGGATCAGAAAGGTCGGTATTGTCCTGGTCGAGCTTGCCCCGTCGCGCTCCCATCAGTTCAAAGGTTCTTCTTCGTCTTCTCCCATCTAGATCCTTTCCCTTTGATATGCACTCGATATTGTCTTCGGTCGCATCACATTACTCTGATTTACTTTACATTTACTATCAGCACATTCGGCAATATGTCATCTTCACACGCTGACTCCTCGACGAACGCGTCGAGCACATTGTCATCCTCTCACGAACCTCAGGAAGCCACCAGAGCCTGCGGTCGCACCCAGGCAAGGGAGACTGATGTTGAGAACGTCGCTGCAAGTGTTGCCAGGGATGGACGAGACACGTTGTCAACTGGAGTTGCGACTGTGGAACATGCTAGGGCCCGATGCCCATGCACCCAGACACGAACCCAGAAAACCGTCCTCGGCCAAATTGTGCTTCTGTTCCTTTGTGTCCAGATCGTAGCTGCCGGAGGCCTCGCCCTTCTCGCTCAATTCGGATCCCGTTACGTCTCAGCCTGGTTATTCAAACATTCGACGACGGGCTTCTACATCTTCTTCTTCACTCAGGCTGTCGGCATGCAGATTTACTACCATGTCATGCCGCTTTCAACTGCCGAAGGGTCCTGGACACGCTTTCCGGAGAAATGTGTGGTTTTCAGCGTCAAAACACTCATTGTTGTCGTCGTAATTGTGCAGATGGTACACGTTTACTGTTCAATCGCCGAGCACAGGAAACTCCACATGGGTGTTTAATGGGATGTCCGACAAGAGTTTGGCGGCTTTGAACGCAAACCATGAGCAGCGCAGACCTCTCTTGTCAGCATCGAGGCGGTCGGAACCCGTGGTCGATTCCATCTTTTGCTTAAAGAGCCAAGAACCACTGATGGGCATTGCTTTGTTTTCGGGGTTGGATAATACCATGTTTGTGGCAACACAACTCGTCCGGAACCCTATTGGATTTAGGTGAAAAGCATGCATAGTACAAAATGAAACCTTGGTTGCATTTGAAATACCACAGAACTACTATCCCGCGCAGTTTTCAGTAGATTTTAAAGGTTGTACCTCTCAGCCTTGAGCCTTGAGCGTTTCAGCCTCGTGTCGCCACAGCCTCGTCGACAGCAGCACGTGAAAGGCTCCGATCGTCAGGCTTGGCGAGTTTGCAGTCTCCTCCCATCTTTTTGAGGTCGAACAAGATCATTGTCTTTTCCACTCTCCGCCATCGAAGCCTAGGTCCAGCAAACATGGCCGCCGCAGCACAGGCCTTATCAGAACGGACACGGACGCTGTTTGGCAGCTCGTACGGCGAAGCGACCGACGCCACGTCCCTCCCCGTCTCCCTCTCCCTCTCCTACAAGAGAAAGGTCGAATATGAAAGCGTGCGCGAACTCCCCCGGGCCCTGGCCGAGAAGCAGGCAAAGGCCGCGGCAGCGCGGGGACCCAAAAGACCAAAGATGGCGGCAACAACGGGGAACAATCAGATGGCGTTGGTGAAGAGCGAGGCGAAAGCGGGATCACAGGCGTCCGGGTCGTCGTCGTCGTCGTCGCAAAGCAACGGGATCGGGAGCAGTCTGATCCGCAGACCGAATATGCAGCAGCCTCGACCCGATTGGCATGCGCCGTGGAAGTTGATGAGGGTGATATCGGGTCATCTGGGCTGGGTGCGCGCGCTGGCGGTCGAACCTGATAACCAGTGGTTCGCGTCCGGCGCGGGAGACAGGACCATAAAAATCTGGGATTTGGCCACAGGTCAACTCCGCCTGACGTTGACGGGTCATATCTCCACGGTCCGAGGGCTGGCTGTATCGCCGCGCCATCCCTACCTTTTCTCCTGCGGTGAAGACAAGATGGTAAAATGCTGGGACTTGGAGACCAACAAAGTTATCCGACACTACCATGGCCATTTGTCGGGTGTCTACACACTGTCACTACATCCGACGCTCGACGTGCTGGTTACGGGAGGAAGAGACGGTGTCGCTCGTGTTTGGGACATGCGCACGCGCTCCAACATCCACGTCCTCTCCGGTCACAAGGGCACCGTTACGGACGTCAAGTGCCAAGAAGCAGACCCTCAAGTCATCTCATCAAGTCTGGATTCCACGGTGCGACTATGGGACCTCGCCGCGGGCAAGACCATGGGCGTACTCACACATCATAAGAAAGGCGTCAGGGCGCTAGCCATCCACCCGAAAGAGTTCACATTCGCGTCGGCGTCGGCGGGATCGATCAAACAGTGGAAGTGCCCCGAGGGCGCATTCATGCAGAACTTTGACGGGCACAACGCCATCATCAACACTCTCGCCGTGAATGAGGATAATGTGCTCTTCAGCGGTGGCGATAATGGGAGTATCTGCTTCTGGGATTGGAAGACCGGACATAGGTTTCAAAGCACCGAGTCCCTAGCGCAGCCGGGGTCCTTGGACGCAGAGGCGGGCATTATGAGTAGCACGTTCGACCAGACCGGGCTGCGGCTGATTATGGGCGAGGCGGATAAGACGATCAAGATTTGGAGACCGGATCCCGAAGCCACGCCAGAGACGCATCCGCTGGATTGGAAACCGACCTTGGGTCGGGTGAAGTATTGAAGACCCCGGAGCTGTGCTTTTGCAACATGGTGGCCGTGACAGAGAGTGTTTGAACGCATTGAATGGCATTTTGCATTGAGCGACGGCGTAATGGAGGTATTGATCCTGGGAAGGGTTAAGGAGTGCTCTGATCACAAGCACCACACGGACGACTCTCGAGTCGGATCGAAAAAAAAAGGGTTCCTGGTTATCTGGAGAAATGAATCTGTTCTGTCTGTGTGAAGAAAAGTATATGGTTGATACCCTCGAGAATTTTTTTCACCGTCAATCATACTGTGTCGAGAAACTTTTGTGATATGATGATTAGCGTGCATATAATATCACGGCCCGAAAGAAAAAGAGTATGATTAACAACATAAGGAGTAGTTAAGTATGAGGGCATAAGGGACAAAATATATGGCACTCGTCAAACTGCGGCGACATTGACTGACTGATTGACTGCCTGCCTGCCTTTCTTTCTCCTTCTGCCTCTGTGTGTATCTCTCTCTCTCTCACCACACACACTTGCACCTCGAGTCTCCTCTGCACCTTCCATTTTAACTTTCCATTATCCTCTCTGTCGCCTTCGTCGTCAATCATCTAATCAGGCATCTAATACTCTACAGCTCGCCATACCTATCAAGATCGCTCTCAAGTGTATCAAGTACGACAACGAAGGCCCACGTTGTGTGGGGTTTTGTTTTTCGCCGAATCGAATCGACTTGGCTCGACACACCCTCCCAAATCTCCACACCATCTCGGGCTCCCGAAATCCAATCCGACCTTTCGACCGTTTCCGTTCCAAGCTGAATCGAATCAATCAGCGTTGACTGTTGACGAGGCTGACCGCCCCCTTTCAAGGCCTACCTACCTACACAAATACCTGTCTGTACGTACATACATACATGGGATGTGCAGACGAGTCGGGTCCCAAGGGCTCGCATGGGCAGTGTACAAGGAGGAGAAGAGCAAAAAAACAGAAAAAAAGGACATTCCGATTCAAAGTAGACGAGACTCCTAGGAGAGGTATTCGACAGAGACGAATACCTGCTAGAGGTGGTATCCCTCACGATACAACACGCAGTTTTGCCAGGAGACTTCAGCCTATTTCTGGCTCGAAGAAAGAAAAAAATCAGATATGCATGGAATGGCCAAGTCGCCGGTCTGGTCCAAGCACCAAAGCACACCGCAACATCGCTTGATCCTCCTTCAGTAGTTATCGCACCCGTCACAACGGGCTGTCTACTGCGCACGCCGGTGAGCCTGAGCTTGTTGAGCCTGAGCTTGCTGAACCTGAGCTTGTTGACGTTGCCGTTGGAGCGCCGCGTCTCTCTCGTCCATGGCCCGAAACTCTGCTGCTTCACGCTGGCTCTCTTCTTCACATTCTCTCAACATTATCTCAAAGTCTGCTGCCTGCTTGCGCTCCAACTCTTCTAATTCTTCTAGGGAAACATTATTATGGGTCATTTCCATGAGGACATGTCCAATCGGCTGCTTACCTTGGGACCTCAACGACACAATGGCGGCTATGCGGTTGCCTGTCACCTGCTTTGACCAGCAGCTTTCTTTTCCAGTCATGACTGCGACCATCTCGCTGCCCTCAAGTACACAGAAGGCGACCGGGTATGTGATCATACCTCGGTTGAGGTACAGCCCGACTCTTGCGCTGTGGGATGCGTGATGGCATGAATAGTCATCCTCCGGCGGGTACGAAGTCAAATCCAATCGGTAGGTGTTGTAAAGAGCAGACGTGATGGTGCAGCAGTCGGCATTCTCGTCACGCACCACTGGCAATGGCCGAAGCCCTCTGTTCCCCTGAGGGCGCGCGTAGACTTCCAGAATGGGCTCGTCTTGAAGACTACCAGCGTCATTGCAAAAAAAGGGATTCATGATCTGAGAACGGTCTGTGCAAGACTCTGCACCAATCAATATGGAACTCTTGGAAAGGATGGCTGAAATATGAAGAAGAGAGATTTGACAACACAAACACAGGTCCGTCAGTCTTTATATACCCCAGGCCCCTCCCTTCCGTCACCGCCTGCCTCCATTTCCGAGGTGGACAGCACAACATCAGCTTTTCCTCCAACAATGCAGCCACTCAGTGAAAAGCCCTGCTCAACTACGGATTGCTCGGCAGCAGGGCGCGATGCGACTCGAGACAGGATTCGGGCACGTAGCTCTCACGTATGCACGTGCCCTGGCTGTTGACCTTAGGCATCAATGAGCTGTTCGAAGCGGTCAACCATCCTTGTCCATTGACCATCACAAGGTCTTTTCGTCCTTCACTTTCAAAAGAAGGGGGGCCCGTTCTGCGGCCAGCTATGGACAGTGAGAATCTAGGCAGATATTGTCGGTGAGGGCAAAGTCTTGAGTCAATCCTTTTATTGGAGCGTTCTCGCTTTCTGATGGTGTGCACTGAACCAGAAATCAACTGGAGCCGACCCCTGCGAATCCACGAAAGAATGAGGCTGAGGCTATGTCCAAGATGCAAAGATGGCACTCTGTCAGTGGATATCCTCCTTGACCGGTTATCTCTGGCATCGCTCTGTCAATCCTCCCTCAAACAGACTTGCAGCCCGAGCTCTACAGCATTTCGGTAGCCCAAATGAGCATCAGCAAAGGGGAGATATTTGTCTTCCAGGAGATAAACCCTGGCCCATCGAGGTCTATGTGGTCTACACTGCATACGCAGAAGAACCCACGCATATTGGTGACTGGATTTCTCTTCCCCGTCGAACTTGAGCAGCGGCACTGGGTGATCCAGCGGGAAAATGCGCATATTTCCACGCTGCGCAACCGAAAATCGGGCCACTGTGACATTGGCTCCTGTGTCCAGCAGCGTAGTCAAGGGACAGTCCCATCCTTGCGCGTTGATGCAGAAAAGTGGTACCCGGGGTTGATCCTCACTGGTCTTCCAGCCCAAGAGTTGATGAGAGTGCAAAGCGAAGCTGGTAGCGCTAGCACTCGCGGCAGACGCAGGGATGGTTGCAGGCTCGAATTCCTGCTTGACACGCGTCTGCGCCTCGGAGGTCACACGGTATAGATTCTCCGCAGACACGACTGAAGAGGCTGTACACGAAGATTCAGCATCGGTGTGGCTGTTGTAATTGCACCGGCAGGATAAGTCGCTCACAACCTCCTGATATGCAGCCATTCGTTGTTGTGGATTGCCGCGAGTCTCTCCCCTGATCCTATTTGAGATACATTCCAATGCTTCATCCACACTGATTGGTTGTTTACAACCCGAAGAACGACATAATTGCTCAGTTATTCGCGACAATACTCTAAGGTCGTCAGGTTGCAATCCGATAGCATCACAACGCTCTCTGGTATTTTCATTTTGTATGTAGGCTGGTACCCCTTTCTGGTCTTCTCCTGTATCTTGATAGAACCCGCTGTAGGACATTGGAGAGAGGACTTTGGTGGACGCAACTTGTTCCCCCTTTTTTTGTGTGTGTGGAAATTCTTTGTGTCGATTGAAGGAGTCTTCGCGTGTGCCCGTGGACAATGAGAGCGGCTCTGTAAAGGGGGGCTGATGATTCCGTTTCCTTCTTTTTCCGAGGGGGCGAGGGTACGGGTATCAAGGTCGAGCGAGGTGATTTGGAAACGAGGGAGGTAGATTCAAGAGGCGTGGCCAATCCAATCTGGCCTTCTTTGCAGTGCAAATCACGTTGAAGAAGAGTGTGCAAAGAGGGGAGAGAAACTCGAACATAGAAGCGGTACGATGAAGAAGCGAGAATACAAGTTCGCAATTGTGGCATACGACAAGGTGGCCACCAAAAAGAGCGAGGGCAAATGTGCGCAGCAGAAAATCCGAAAAGACGGTTAGCAGACTGCCAGAATTGGCTGGCTGGCTGGCTGGATGGCCCACCACACACCCAATGAATGGGACGGCCGAGGGAAGAGACACAAGTAGGAGCCTTGTTGAGCAGGTCAACAGGGAAGTAGTCGTCGCTGCACCGGAATGGGGGAGGCCCGGCGGAGCGAGGGCGACGGGTTGGCTTCCCCAGTGCCTAAGAGCTGCGCGGGAGAGAAACAGCACCGCTGGTCTGACCGTGTCATGCAGGCGGGCGTAGAGAGCCATCAGTAAACCCTCACCACACAACAAACGCATTGTACTCCAAACCCCATGGTCCAGGTGCGGATTCAGGGGAAAGGCATGTGTGAGCCCATAGCAAAGGCTTTGGTTCCAACGGAGACAAGAAGCCCTGCCGCGGCGAAAGTCTCATGGTGGAAAAAGGAGCACAGGAGTCTGTCCGGGTGCTTTGCAAAGTATTCGTAACATGTCGCTGCTGGTTCTCTGAGGACGTCGCGACTCGCGAGGACATTTCATGACAAGCCCCAACACGATTGCCAGGGCTGGGCTTAGTGCCTAGGGCCTGGGACCCATGATCCAGGGCTCCATCGGACCCCAGAGTTACTGGGTCCCACTCGCGCTGCCGACCGTGTGCTGTTTAGCGTGAGATTAGCCCGTTGGGGCCAACGTTAGGTGTTGTTGATAGGCCATAACTGTTCTTCCTACCTCGAAACAAAAAGTCAGCGAGAGTCAACATCCATTGCCGCAATGATAAGCAGAAAGATGACCGCGCATCCAGCACAACAGGTGAGAGGTCGAAAGGAATTTCATCAAACAGATCTTGGTGAACTTATGGTGGCCCTCGGATGCACACCATATCGCAGCGTGAGATTGACTCGATGACTAGTTTCTCGGTCGTTTGACCAGACGCACGAACACAAGGGACGGGCCTTCGTATGCTGTCCGGGTCGATGCGACAATAGGCAGTTCACTTGAAGTCTTCGTTGTGGTGTTATTTGCATTTCCGAGATGCATATGATATTGACGGGGTTTGCCATGTCCCCAATGTGCGTCACGTGAATCGCATCTGACTCAACAGTGTGCGTCTCTTTCTGCGACTTGAAAACTCCAAAAAAAGGTTATAATCCCCAAGAGACAGAAAACAGAAGACATAGGGGAACCAGCAATGCACATCTGCTCCATACTTAAAAACCCCAGGCAATCCTACTTGTCTCACCGAAATTGAAGTCAACTCGAAGCGGAACCGCGTGTGCCTTTTCTCAGCTTCCTCGCTGAGCCCGAGCTGTCAAGCCCCAATCCGAGCTGTTAGGCGAAGAATGTGTCCAATCACCGAAAACTAGCGGTGCGGTTAAGCGCCGCGGCCTGCAGGAATTGCTGCTGGAGAGGAAAAGCCCCGGCTCAATTGGTCCATATGGACTATGTAACGGCACAGAGGTGAAAGATATTGAAAAGGCAGTATCCGACAGTGGTTCAGTGTGAGTTCGAGGTGGAGGGTAGGGGAGAAAAAAGTTTTGAGCAAGGTTACGGGAGGGAGACGCAATGGGACGAGCCGACTCTTATATGCTGCCAGTGCTTCTACCACTCAGTAGGGAACATCCCTGGACCTCTGAGCGTGGCGTCTGCAGAGCCATTGTTCAATCAAGATCCTCGCGTCCATCCCGCCCTATCAAACAACACACTCGCTCTGGATGGTGTACCACTAACCAAGCGATGGCACAATGGTCTTTGAATTTGACTTGCAGACATGCAGCCAATGCACCCTCTAGGCCACTAATTGCATGCAGTCGGGGCGTCTTCATGCGAACACTTGGTTCGTGCTGCGATCCTCTCGACTGTAACAAGTCCACCCACAAGTCTTACATGAACTTTTGCTTGGCCCGCTCGGACACCGGCTTCTTTGTCCTTGTCAGCTGCCTCTTCCTCCCTCACTCTACCCTCGTCCTTGGCCTGCAATCCATCTTGGGCAATGTCTGCATCATGTCGGGCAGCAACATTCAGGGAACAGCACAGGAGAACAATGAGGCTGATTCTGCCAACTGTAACCCGGCTGTGCCCCTGATGTGATGGCGGCCCTCATATTCGACGGGCTCCTCTGCGGCCATGTCTCCCCCGTGTATACCGTTTGCTCAACGATAAGAGTTCAACATGAATGGGTACGACGCTATGTGCTCGGACATGGCCACCAACCCAGAAGCTGTCATTTTCCGGAAATTCACCATACTAAACTACCGCGCGCTGTTATTCCTTCAATCTGAACTAAATCAGAAGGAGGGTCGTCTCGTCTCCTTGATCAAACATGACCAGAACTCCCTCGACCCGGAACGAAGGCAATTTTCGTACAGCTTCGATGCCATGCTGAGATCCAATGGCGAGACCGAGGGTTCAACATTGCAGAGGGAGTTGATGCGAGAGATTTGCCATCTCCTCCCAAACTACAGCATGTGGTTTTTGTTGATCCCCTGTTTCAAATCAAACTACTTTTCCCTGTATGTTTTTTGCTCGGGTCCTGCTGACTTTTTTTTCCGGGAGCTGTTGTCTTGCGGCTCAAAAGATGAATTGCTCCTCCAAATCCGCCAGCTCGGCCACCTCCCTCCCGTCCACGAACCCAGCCTCAAGCGCCTCCGAGAGGCCCAAATGAGCGCGCAAGGGGCTAACAGGTTCCTCCGCGGCCGCGAGCAGCGCATCTGGAGCGAGAAAAAGCAGTACGACCTCACATCCCTGACGGATCGGCAGGAGGACAGAGACCCGCTCTCGTCGTGGCTGGAGTGGTGCGTCACAGATGTCTGGCACAAGTACTTTGGCCACAAACTCTCTCCCCCTAAACCCGTCGATGAGGACTGGGCACCGGCCGTGCCGAGCAAGCTGGGCCAATACCCACGATCACTCATTGCGAGAATCGTCACCGGCGTCACCACGATCCTCGCGCCCATCTTTGTGACGCTCTCGGCCGTCGTCTTGTTCTTTGTGGACAGCGAGTCCAAGCGCCTGGGCCTCATCGTCGGGTTGAGCTTCCTGTTCAGCCTCGCGCTGGCTTGCGTCGGGGTGCCACGCAGGATCGATTCGTTTGTCGCCACGGCTACCTTCACCGCTGTGCTGATTGTTTTTATCGAGAACAACACAGACTGAGAGTGTTGAAGAGAGGGTATTTTGAGGGGTTGTGTCGACACCAAAAACAAGAAGAGGAAGAGGTGGTGGTGGTAAAGAGGTGGATTTTAGTTTGGAGACAGGAAAGTTTTGGACAATCATTCTTGCTTGTTGCTCTGCTCTCCTCTGCTCTTGTCAAATTCTCCATCAGTCCCAGCAAAGGGAGTGCTAGAGAGGTTTTCCTTGCTCTTCTGACGAGGACAGTTGCAGATGGATAGAACTTCATATGCTTCTGTATTGGTAGAGACTTCACTTTCATCATCGCTTTCAATCTCTGCTGCCACTGCCATCGCCACGTCCTTCTTCCAAGTTTTAAGCGGTATATCTATGACCGCCTTCGACAGATCTATTCTAGGCCTTTCTTTCGTCCCCCCATCCAATTTTTTATCTCTTTGGTGGGGGGATGTACAAGGTCCAGATGGTCGGTAGAGCGTGTCTCTTGTCCTACACCAGACCTATTCAACCTTCTAACGATACAAATCCAATCTTCTCTCTTTTGGGGGCAAACGGAGCACCCAAAAAGAAGAGCTGGCCCAAAGAGACCCTGTAGTCACGGATGCACATCTTATGGAGTTTCTCTGACCATCTAGAGTTCTGGGTGTTGCGAAAGAAAAAGATGGCCAGCGTTTTGGACACTCCAAGGTGGGGTTTTGGGGGGAGGGGGGAAGCCTATACAAGCTTACTATTGGGTTCGTGTCGTGGTTTCCGGTAGGGAGGAAGGTATCAATCACGGCACGGAAAATAGCCTCCAGTGTGTAAGTTCTGGGGTCACATCCAGGTGCAAGGGCCCAGCATGCGTAGGGCCTGGAGGTCCCCTGGAGAGAGCACACTTGGGCATGTTGATCCGGGACCCCTATTTCGGTAGTTGTGTGGGCAGGCATCCGGGACAAGATGAGGATGAGGATGAGGATGAGCGACTTCTTCAGGCCCCTGGGACGATAGGTCGGTCAATCATTCAGTCAGTCAGCCCCCCTCCCTAAAAAGGGACTCCCCTCCCCCCTGTGCGCGCACTCACTTTCGATATCAAAGTGAGAACCAGACCATTGTTCAACCCATCGATTATTAGTTTCTGGCAGTTGGAAAGTTGGACGCGGGAGCGGGAAGCCGCGGGAACTGCCTCTTTTGCTTAATTTCAATTGTGGACCCGAGAAAATGTGACGAGGCAGCGAGGCTGAAAACCCCTGGGAAGGCGCAAAGCCTTCTTTCTCTTGTCACAGGAGCGCATTCATTGTGTTACCCCCACCCCCTTCCCTTCTTTGAATGACCTGACATATTGAATCATTGTGAAGGAAATTTGCTCTTTCCGTTTCACGACTTGATTTGCTCTTGTTATTCCGGCGAATCGACTGAGGACTAGACACACGTGACTGCCCAAACAAAAAGAGAAGAGCCATAGTCTTCTTTTTCTCCTCACCGCCATGTTGACCGGGAGTCCTTACTCCCCATATTACGCTCTTGATGCTCCCAGGGCATTACAACCCCGTGGTGTAAGAAAGAAGAAGAAGAATAAGTAGTCATAAAAACCTGGTTTGCCTTTTTTATCCCCCCCCTCCCCCCTCCTCTGGCCTCTTCTCATCCTCCAAAAAAGAGTCCCAGCACCCACTCAAAAAAAAGAAAAAGGAAGGGTATGTCCGCCATCCCTCTCAGGATACAGATGGCTACTTCGAAGACTCTCCTCTTATCTCTTTGTCCTTTTCGTGCCGGTCCTCTTCTTTCTTCTTGCTCTTCTCCTTCTCTCTCCGCTTGGCCTCTTTTTTGGCCTCTTCCTTCTGTCGCTGTTTTTCTGTTCCACAAGTGTAAGTAACGGTGGAAGCGGATCCCCAAAACAGCAAGCAAGCAAGAACCACAACGAGAGTGAGCTGCAAGCTTACCTTTGGTGCTCAGGTCACTCTGGTTTGCGACAGGGAGGATCGCGTTCTGCCCAGGACGTTGTCTCAATGACCTGGTCAGGATCACACCCCGGTCATCGCTGCTAACTATGCAGAATTCTCCCTTGAAGCCATCGGGACTGTCAGTCGAATTGCATCTCAACGTGATCGTACCGATGCAGCTGCCAGGGAAACCGGGGTGAGAGTGTTCATCTGGAGTGAACGTCACTTGCTGGTCGTAGACTCGTCTCAAGGTCCCCAGATCGATTCGGTGACGAGGCAGGTCACAATCTACCGATGCAAGCAGAGGTTGCCATCTCCCGACACTGTTGACGATCATGACGTTCTCACGATTCTCGAAAGGGTACTCTCGCTGCTGCTGCTGCTGCTGCTGTTCGCCATCGTCTTTGAGAATACTCTCACGGTTTTCAGCTGGTATTCCTGGTGTATCCATGGTGGGGACTATTCAATCTGTTTGGCTTTTTCCCCCTTCCTCTTTCACACGCAGTCGAGTGGCGGCTAGCAGCAATTATAGGGGATCTATAGAAACTGCTCTTGAGGCTGAGCACCCCCCCTTGGTTTGACCGCTGCTGCAGGGAAACAAGAACTCCATAGGGACAAGGCAACCAGAAGATGGACCTCTACGGACACATCCATCCAGTTGTGCGCACGGGAGCAGATTGATGCACCAAGGCACCAAAGTGCTGTGCAGGCGGTCATCATACGTGCCTAACACTACCAGGTCTATTCAGCCACGACTACGCCTCGCAGCATAGGCAATTAAGCCCCTTACCTTTCAAGGGAGGTCGGGTTCTGAGCACCATTGGTCTGTATGGCCTTGAAGCAGGGAGATGTCAGCCAATAGAGGCGGCCGTCATGTGTCTGGGGAGTCTCATACAAAAAGTATCGGTGAGAACCCTTTTTCGAATCAGAAGTCCATCTATTTCTACATTCACTCCTCATTTGTACAGCGAGCCCAAAAACGCCCCGTTTGAAGCCTTCCTTTTTTTTTCAACAGTTTTTTGGCTCCTCCGCCCTCCCTTGCCACGTCACTGACCCAGACAATCGAACAAGAACAGAACAGGCGCCCTCCACCAGGATAGGAGTTTCCATCCTCCTTACACCGGTCAGGACGAGGCGCTGCCGAGCACAGCATTCTCGCATGCCTTACATTGAGGTCGAGGAAGATGACCCAGCTTCATGGTCAGCTCCACACTCAGGAGGGCTCGGTGGCCAGCAAGGTCATGCACAATGTGGAACTCGGCCGATCGTTGCTTGCTATTACACCGGAGCCAGAACGGGATCTGGACCGTCCCCATCGAGACAGCTACATGCCCTTCGATGCCTCCTACAATCGTGTCCCTCATTTCCGCGCCGGGCTCATACCCCAGCTCAGCCGCCGCAGTCGCAGTCATCATGTTGAGGTCGGCGCCGGTGTCCATGGTCGCGAGGAAGTAATCTACCTCGCCATTGCGCATCTGCACAATCAGCTCGAGGCTTCTGTACTCACGCACCCGGGGGTTGTTGCCCGCAATCAATGGTTCTCGCACAGGGAGTACGGCTGGGACAACACAGTTGGGACCTGCACCATCCGCACCATCGCCCTCCGGTGTGGGTTGTTGACGATTCGACGCAGGGAAGCAGCAGTCGCTCGATCTTGGAGGACAGGCAGAAGAAACCTGACCACTACCTCTGAAATTTTGCCCTGCAGCCTTGTGGGACCTATTCTCCCTGCCGCAGCCGCCACCACGTCTATCGACCGTCCTTTTCACTTGTGATTGGTAGAAAATTCCGCCCATCAAACGCCTTTTCAAGCTCAGACGGGGATCTCCTTTATGCCATGGCTTCCATTTTGCAGATGTAAGACCTCGTTTCAACACACCTCTAACACCCCCTGGAGTTTTTGTGGTGGCATCAATGTCACTCTCGGTTGGTGGTGGCAGCGAGGGAGGTTGGGAATTTTCTCTGACGCCGTGTCTTTGGGGAGGGTCATCAGGACGATGCCTGTCGAAAATCAACTGTGTGGGCAGCTGCGTGGGTGTTCGTTGATCGTTTTCATGATTGGGAGGAAAGATATTCACGGTGACCACTGGCTGGCTGCTTTGGCTGCAGTGAAATTGGATATTCACAGCCATGAGTGTGACGGTTTTTTTTTTTTTGAAGATGGTCACAGGTTGGACGCCAATCGTTCTCGTAGGGAAGGAGAGAAATGAAAGAGATCTCAGCTTTCCCCCCTCCAAAAGGATTCCAAAGAAACGAATCAAAGAGTGATATTGACGAGCTTTCGACAAGCAGTTACAGCACGAGGACACAGCGAGGACACAGGGGGAAAGAAAGGTGCACGTGCAATAGACATCACAACAAAAGAAAAAGGGGGGCGGGCTTCAACGACTGCGATTCTGACCCATGTACCGGGTTACCGGTGCTCGGTACCTCGTAAAGCACCACCAAAGCCCGCTCGTGCTTATTCACGGATCTGAGTTCTGTGATGACCCTTGGACGGCGCCGAGATTAGTGCAGAAGGGCGCTGAAGGGGGTAAACTTGGACACATTGCCTCCATCTCTAACCTTGAAGACTGCTGGGAAAGCCACAGGATGGTGTGTTCATGGGGAAGAATGTCCTGCGCAGATGAATAGCCCCTTACAGGGATACTGCAGGCGGAGGAGTCCAGGCCTTTGGGCTTGTCGCTTCAGGCGGACTCGGCGGTCGAGTGTCAGGCAGACCCAAATTCACAGCTGTCCGCACAAGTCAGGGGTGGCTTCGTCATGTAATTCAAAGACCGCTGAACCGTGTCGTCGGTGCTCTGGTGCTCTGGCATTGAGTTTTGTAAGACTGTTGCGGCGTCGTGTCCGAGGCTCGCGAATGTGTTGATCTCGGCGTAGCGTGCGTGGTAGCAGACGCGTTTGGTCGCGTGGAACGACTTCACGGTGTGAGGAGAAACTCGTAGGGCGTTAGTGGAACCCTGTTAGCTCCTTGATCCTTACCTGCTTTGCGAAAGAACGATCCACCAGTGCACAAGTAGGGCAGCCCACCAACAGCTTCCTCAAGTCTGAAACGACGGTCCGGGGGGGTTGCACGGCAACATTCAGGCTCATCAGGTGGCAGTCAGCTGA